GGAGAAACGAAGACATTTTGCTGATCAAAACCTTCATGTATAAATATCATTAATTTCACTGTTTTTGGGTACATTTGTTTTACTTAACTTATGAACTTGTTTGAATTATTATTTGCGGACATTTTGGACTCCCGTTTCTCTTTGTTGTTCGTTGCAGTTTTTTGCTCCAAGAGCTAATAAATTAGAAGGTAATTGTAATTATTATAACTATTGTTGTTAGAACGACATTGGTCGTCTATTTGTAATAAAGTATTTTGGTCGAATTTGTGATTTGGAATAAACTTTGGTATCTACTTTGGAGTTTCGTTCTTGGTTTAGAAATTTGGGACCGTGAATTACAAATAGTCGACAACCGTGCTTCGTAAGATCAACGAGCAAAAAACTGGACGTAACAATGAACACACTTTAATTTGTGAACTGTATAGTACATGGTTCTCCCTCAATCAGAACACACCTCTTACCCATGATATTGATCTTAACTGTAGCAGTAATAATGATCTCTGTACCATCATCTTTGATCTTATCAATTTTCAGGTGGCCATTTAAACACCCAAACCCAATGGCATCTGTGGTGCGGTTAAGATACTATCCGTACTCTTTCAAATGGCAAGAGCAAACATTCTAACGATTTTACTCAAGATATATACGCTATCCCTAGAGGCTGGTATATAACCCGAAACGTGGAAATTAACTCATATTTTACCTAAACATGAATCTATGCCGAAAGACGTAATCCAAATCTACAGATCAATTAATATCACCCAAGTTATCTCACGGGTTATGGAAAAAGTGATAAAAGATCAACTAACTGATCGCTTACCCAAAGAAGGTCTGATCGACCCCTCATAACATGGATTCATTAGAACTAGGCCATGCACCATACATCTGATGGATTTCCTTAATGACGTGACCAGCATACGCGACCAAAAGCAACTGGTGATCGTGTTGTATTTTCATATCAAGAAGGCTTCCGATAAGATACCTCATAGTATCTTTTTCAACAGACTTTCATCCACCTACTTTGTTAAGCACATCCCCTCTTACTTACTTACTTACTTTCGCCTGTTACCCCCAATGGAGCATAGGCCGCCCACCAGTTTTCTCCAACCAACTCTGTCCTGGGCTTCCCTCTCCAGTTCTGTCCAATGTTTGTTCATTCCTCTCATATCTTTCTCTATTTCTCGGCGTAGTGTGTTCCTTGGCCTTCCTCTTTTCCTTTTGCCTTGAGGGTTCCATGTGAGGGCTTGTCTAGTGACGCAGTTGGGTGCTTTTCGTAGTGTATGTCCTATCCATTTCCACCGCTTCTTCCTGATTTCCTCCTCCATTGGAATCTGACTTGTTCTCTCCCAAAGTTCGTTGTTGCTGATGGTGTCTGGCCAACGAATACGAAGTATTTTGCGTAGACAACTGTTAATAAACACTTGTATCTTCTGGATGATGGCTTTGGTAGTTCTCCATGTTTCCGCTCCATACAGTAGAACTGTCTTCACATTTGTATTGAAGATCCTGATTTTGGTTTTGTTTGAAAGTTGTTTGGAGTTCCAGATATTTTTCAACTGTAGAAATGCAGCCCTTGCTTTGCCAATCCGCGCCCTCACATCTGCGTCCGATCCACCTTTCTCGTCGATGATGCTGCCAAGATATGTGAAGGTGTTAACGTCTTCCAAGGCATCCCCATCAAGCGTGATTCGGTTGGTGCATGTTGTGTTGCATCGGAGAATTTTGCTTTTTCCTTTATGTATGTTGAGACCTACAGCTGCAGAGGCTGCTGCTACACTGGTCGTCTTCTCTTGTATTTGTTGTTGAGTGTGCGATAGAAGAGCCAGGTCATCTGCGAAGTCCAGATCGTCCAGCTGCGTCCTAACTGTCCAGTTGATACCGTGCTTCCCTCCAGATGTTGTCGTCTTCATAATCCAGTCGATGACCAGGAGAAAGAGAAAGGGTGAGAGTAAGCAACCTTGCCTGACACCGGTCTTCACCTCAAAAGAGTCTGTCAGCTGACCTCCGTGTACGATTTTGCAGTTGAATCCATCATAAGAATTCCGCATGATGTTGACTATTTTCTCAGGCACACCGTAGTGTCGAAGAAGCCTCCACAGTGTTTTCCTATCCACGCTATCGAATGCTTTCTCGTAGTCGATGAAGTTGATGTAGAGTGGTGAGTTCCATTCAATTGATTGTTCCACAATGATCCGTAATGTAGCAATTTGGTCAGTACACGATCGATCCTTACGAAATCCAGCCTGTTGATCTCGAAGTTGGGCGTCTACGAAGTCCTTCATTCTGTTTAACAATACTCTGTTGAAGACTTTGCCTGGTATTGAAAGAAGAGTGATGCCTCTGTAGTTCTCACACTTACTGAGATCGCCTTTCTTTGGTATTTTGATGAGGTACCCTTCTTTCCAATCTGATGGTACTTGTTCCTCATCCCAAATCTTCTTGAAGAGAATGTGAAATATTTTCGCAGTTGCTTCCACATCTGCTTTCATTGCCTCTGCTGGAATGTTGTCTGGTCCTGCTGCTTTGCCGCTCTTGATTTGTCTGATGGCTATACTGATCTCCTCAATCGTAGGTGCGCCAATATTAATTGGGAGGTCCGTGGATGCTGCTTCGATGTTGGGTGTCTTCAGAGGAGCTGGTCGATTTAGGAGTTCCTTAAAGTGCTCCACCCACCTATTTCGCTGTTCGTCAGTGTTGCTGATTATTTTCCCTTCCTTGCTTTTCACTGGTCGTTCTGGTTTACGATAGTTTCCGGCGAGCTTCTTTGTAGTTTCGTACAATTGTCTCAAGTTTCCTTCTCTTGCAGCCTTTTCCGCCGTCATTGCTAGATCTTCCACATATTTTCGTTTGTCAGCTCTGATGCTCTTCTTCACTTCCCTGTTTGCTTCTGTGTATTCAGCTTGTGCCTTAACTTTCTCTGTTCTTGTTCGGCTGACATTGATAGCTGCCTTCTTGTTCCTCCTTTCTTCAATTTTTTCAAGAGTACCAACAGAGATCCATTCCTTGTGATGGTGCTTCTTGCGACCAAGGACCTCCTGACATGTTGAAGTGATTGCCTCCCTAATCCCTTTCCAATTGTTCTCCAATGTTGCGTCCTCTCCATTGAGTAGATCCTGAAACGCCTGGAACCTATTGGTGAGGGCTATCCTGAATTCGTTGAGTTTTACGGTATCCCGAAGAAAGGCCGTATTAAACTTCTGTGATGTTGTCTGCCCCGTTGTCCAGTGCTTCTTTAGCTTCAATCTCATTTTGGCGATCAGCAAGTGGTGATCTGAAGCTATATCAGCTCCTCTCTTGGTTCTCACATCCTCCATGGTCCTTCTGAAATTTTTGTTGATACAGATATGGTCAATTTGGTTTTGAGTAGTGTGGTCCGGTGAAATCCATGTGGCTTTGTGAATGCGTTTGTGCGGGAATATTGTGCCACCGATGACCAGTTTGTTGAAGGCACATAGGTTTGCAAATCTCTCACCGTTTTCGTTCCTTTCTCCCAGTCCATGTCGTCCCATGATGTTTTCATATCCAGTGTTGTCCATTCCAACCTTGGCATTCAGGTCTCCCATAAGAATCGTCAAATCCTTTGGTGAACATTTATCGACGACTGACTGCAGCCTTTCGTAGAATTGATCTTTAACGTCGTCATTGTAGTCATTGGTAGGTGCATAACATTGGATGACGTTCATTGTAATGTCCTGTTTCTTTGTTTTGAAGGATGCTTTAATGATCCTGGGTCCATGAGATTCCCATCCTATCAGTGCCTTTTGTGCATGTTTGGACAGCATCAGTGCAACTCCTTGTGTATGTGAAGCGTTTTACTCTTCATGACCAGAGTATAACAGCAGTTCCCCTGAAGCTAGTCTCAGTTGTCCTACCTGTGTCCAATGTGTTTCACTGATGCCGAGCACCTCGAGGTTGTATCTTTTCATTTCTGCCGCAACTTGAAATAGTCTTCCAGTCTCCCACAATGTACGAACGTTCCATGTACCTAAAAAATTGGTTGCTCTGGTTGTCAGAAGAGGCATCGGCCCCGTGACTTCCGAGGGGACTCGGCTTTCATCACGAGACGTCATAATTCTTCTTCCAACTCCCAGGGCAGAGTTAAAATGGTTTGAATTATTTTTTCTGGTTAGCGTTTTTTTGGCAAGTGAGATTTCAACGGAATGGGGTCGCCAACCCCATGTCCAACCCTCCTCCTTTACCCGGGCTTGGGACCGGCAGTAGCCCCTAAGGTTCTACTGGCGGAGTTACATCCCCTCTGCTACATCCTAAATGCTCATAGCTAGTTTGAAAATCCGTACTTTTTTCTCCATAACTGCTGACTGTATTGCATTGACGCCTCGCCAACAGTTTATAAGTTGCTACAGTTAGACCAGCTTGTAAAAACAAACTTGCAGAAATAATGTCTTAACAGGATGTGAAACACTGAGCCTCAATATAACAAAAAATATTATCTTACAATCATTTTATACAATACTAAAAACAAAAAAAGGAGGTAGGGTAGAGTTGCTGACTACAAAACATTGATGGTGTGGGCAATGACTTCAATCCATCCATGTCTGCGGGGGCAGAACATTTTATTTGCTTTCACCTCTTTTCGATAGACGAGGCGTCTAATCAATGATAAGAAATTCGCTCTTTTGAGTCTACTACTTCTGAGACTCACGTCTCTAAAACTAGGTTGAGGTTACTATTTTGCCAGGACAATCTACAACATGCTCATGAAAACGGTGTTGGGTATTGGATATTGAAGACTCTATTTTTATGAACTCAAGGTCGTTTCCTTTGGGATGGCAACTTCTATAATCAAGTTGCACACGCTTTCAGGGGCTGGTGATAATGGCTCACCATGTTATTTGCTACAGGTAGATCAGAAAATAGTCTGAATAATAATTTTCAGGTCGACGAATTTCACTGTCTTCTTGACTGTGGTTGGTCTGAGAAACTGGATAGTGAATATGTGAAAGAGGTTTCAAAATGGGCCAAACATGTTGATGCTGTTCTCCTTAGTCATCAAAGTCTTAGACATCTCGGCATGCTCCCATATCTTGTTGGAACATGTGGTCTTAACTGTCCAGTTTATGCAACGACTCCTGTATACAAAATGGGACAAATGTTTTTGTATGACTTTTTCCAGTCAAGACATGCTTCTGAGGACTTTAGTCACTACACGTTAGATGATGTTGATTTGGCCTTTGATCATGTTCAGCAAGTTAAGTACCAGCAAACAATCAGTCTTCATGGTCGTGGCCATGGGCTATGCATAACCCCACTTCCTTCTGGTATGTCAGTAAAATAGGAATTACTCTCTGACAGGTCATACACTTGGTGGAACAATTTGGAAACTAGTGAAAGAAGATACAAGTATTGTCTATGCTTTGGATTTCAACCATAAAAAAGAGAGACATTTGAACGGGGCTACCTTCGATGCATGCATTCGACCACACTTATTAATTATGGATGGTTCAAACACCTTATATACTCAGGTAAATTCTGTCTTATGATGACTTTTCCAGCCTAGGAGAAAAGATCGTGATGAAAACCTACGTCAGACAATCCTGAGGACTTTAAGGCGCGGTGGAAATGTACTTATTGCTGTTGATACTGCTGGACGATGTCTTGAAGTAGCTCATTTTTTGGAACAATGTTGGTTAAACCAGGTTAGTTCCAGTTAGTAGATGTCACATATTTGTTTCAAAACGTTTTATTTCCAACTCAATCACCGCTATCGTATTCCAAACTAACTTTCCTCTAGTAGTTAAAACTATATTCTCATATCAGGGAGTCAGTCAGTCAAATGCAACGTAGAACTTCGTACGTAAGTACATCAGTTCATTTTGCCATACCACATCAGCACAGAGATATAATTGTAAATTCAAATGCAATAGTAGAAGAGGTAGTAAAGGTATTAGAAGTAATCGGAGAGGTTAGGATTAGAAGATATTATTCAAGAAGTATGATTCAGTGAGAAAAGTTTAGAAAGTCAAAACTAGAGGGGTTGAAGAATCCAGAAGATTAGGGTTTGAGAGAACACAAAGAATAAATGCACCAGCGCCATTGCGAACCATTTTGAGCCATGTCACTCAAGGTCTCTAACCATCGATTATTATCATCTCGCGGACCCAAACCAGGTAGTCGACAATTACCGACATGGCTCAGTCCACTAGTCAATGACTTCATGGATTTCTGCCATGTTTTGGTTTGGCCGCCCCTAGCTTTCGTCCAACCTATTCCTACACTACAAAACAAAGTTCGTCGAGGCAGTTGGTGGTTAAGTACACGGAAATTGTGGTGAACTTATCATTGCCATGATAGGATGAATTACCGCTTTATTATGGTTTATAGCCTAAAGCAAAGATTCGTATTATCATTCACTTAAGACGTCAACTTCCATGTTACATTTGCGAGTCAAGGGACTTCTTTTGCCCAACTGTGCTGTGTCTTTTTTGTTCGAAATTAGTGTGCAAACCACACGGTTTTCAACGAGAATTGTGCTGAAATGCAATGATTTTCAAAGCATATTTGACTTTGTACTAAAGTTTCTAACTGCGTATTCTGTTTGAACTTGGTAAAATTCCCGTTTTCACAGCAGTAGGTTTTTTAAAGAATTTGCTGTCTTTTATAATAGTCTTGAAACCCATAGAATTTAGTTTGTACTTTTGTTTGGTTTGAGAGAATATCCTTTAAGTTATCAATAAGCTCGAGCCATTTCCGGATAAAGTTGAAGCAAACGTCAGCTCATAGGTTTTGAAATTGAAATGATGTTTTTTATCAATAGTCGTGAAAATTCGTGCAGTTCTGCTAATATCTTTTTCATAATGACCGTTCATTGAAGGTGGTTTTGCTGTTTCAGCGGACGAGTTATTATGTATATACTATGTTTTCCATTCTGGATTTTTGTTTTACTAGGAATCTGGCCTAATGTGCTTATGGATTGGCGATGCTTAATTACGTGGCTTTAAATGTTGTGGACTTTGACAAAGTCAATGATCGAATGGATGTCTTGAAAAAGTAATGAGATCTTTCGAGGATCAACGTAGTAATCCATTTCATTTCCGACATATGCAGCTGTGTCATACGTTTAGAACAGCTAGATGCGGTTTTCAGAGCCAAAAGTAAGCCTTTCATTTTCACATGTTATTTCAGGTTGTGCTTTCATCACTTTCCGATCTAGTTGTGGATTTTCCCGTCAGTTATTTGCTGAGTGGGCGGATAACGATTTAAACACAATAATTCTAACTTCTCAAGAATCTGTTATCACTGGAGTTGATGAATCTTCAAATCAGTGTTTAATATCACGGACTTATCGGGTTAGCAAGAAAAAGATATAGATGCACGAAAAGATTTTGCTACAAGTTCAACCGGCACTTTAATCCTCCCTTTAACGTTACTCACAACCGAGTGTCGTGTTCACACAGCGGGACACAGCGATCTGAAACATTCCACACTTGAGAAACTCAGGCTAAAAAAGTGTCTTTCCGTCTCTCGCCACACAGGCAGTACAGGCAGTTAATGACTTATCGCGATGATATCTCAATTCTGAACACGAGCCTGGAAACATGATTGTCAGTTTTACAGTCATGTCTCTATAAATACGACTTCCAGTTAATCCATTTTCGTTACTCTAGAAAAACGCGTTTCGGTGGACAATAAGCATTAATTACCATGGCAAGATAACTTTCATCAAGTGCGTCTTTACACTGTTCCAATGCACCGTCCACATCCCTAGTTGTTTGGGTAGTCAGAATCTCTTTCAACACGCTCAGTAGATCTGAAACAGTTATAGCTCAACAAAATGGTCACTGGTAATCTTGATTTACGATTTAGGGGTGTTTGTGTATCTAGTGTTTTTCTGTGTCACACCCCCCCCATTGTAATTGGGCACCCTGATATTTTTTATCCCAACGCCAGTAGTTTTTCGAATCGCTTTATAGCTCCACAAGCTAACTCAGTTTCAGTGTGATTGTAAACAAACTCGTTCATTTCGAACATTCGTACAGTCCTATCTCTTGGTAAATGTGACATAAAATTA